TTTTACCGCCAACTAGAGTCTTAAAAGCTATACAGGTTTTGAGCTCGTTCTTAGAATACTGGTTGGATTCCCCGCTTGATATTTAGCATAACTGTATGGTGATTTGATTCGTTAGCAATATAAAGACATAATTCTGCAACCGTGCATTAAAACCTTGTTCGTCAATAATTAATTGATTTTATTGCAACAAGTTGTTGCCATATTTGGTGATATATTTGGTTTTATAAATAAACTAGTATAAAGGTTATACGATACAAGGTAGTTAACGAAACATTACCTTCGTGACCAAGAAAGGTTTTTACGTGAAAACGCTTACATTGCGTCCATAAAAGTGATATCGCATATATAACAGATTAGACCAGATTAAGCAGAAAGACAAAAGGTTGCAAAACACCGTGTTTTTGTTTTTGATTTCACTGAATTTATAGAAATCGGCAGAAACAGACAGACGCATCACGCTTTTTATGTCTGATAAACAAAAGAATTAATTTTGCTGACTGCGGTTACGAGAAAAATATCACGTTTTGCACTTACACAAAAAGTTAACTGTATTTTTTTACTTAATTGTTTATCGAAATAGCAAATAAGTGCAAGTTTAGATAATATAGATGTAAGAAATGTACGGGTAGCATACCCTAGCACAGACATGGACAAAGTACGGCCCGTGGGCCAAATCCGGCCCGTTGGGTAATACAATCTGACCCGCCTGATGCTGCCACAATCAAACTGAAACCAATTTTTTTATGTTTTAGCTGAAAATAGCTTAAGAAATTTGTTGAAAATGCGGTTAAATTTAGTTTTTGCACGAAGCATATTGGTTACCATCTTTGCTTTAAAACACTGTAAATATCGTTCATAAAATGTAAATTTTTACGTCACACTCACATGATCCGCATGATTAATTGGGCACAATTTTTGGCCCCTGGTTCAAACACCCTGCACATCCCTGCCTTAGCACAGCGATTCCCAACCGAAAAAAGTCCCACAAAGCAGTTGGAGGGGGCCACAATGCTAGGCGCAGAAATGATTTAACATCTCCCTCTACAAGAAAATACCCGTTATTTCTAGTTTTATTGCTTAAGAAGGTTATTTTTTATGGTATTTCACTTTGTTGAGCATGACTCGTTTAAACATAATGGGACTTGGAATCAACTAATCAAAATTACCACTGGGAAAATAGACAGGGGGGTCATGAGTGCTAAAATCCTCCGGAGTGGGGGACACGAGCCATAAAAAGTTGCAGAAGGATCTGCGACCAAGCCAAGCCGCCCCCAACAATCATCAACCAAAGAATCTGACAGGTGCAACTAATTTTAATTCATACTCGAATAATAAATAAGAAACCTCACGGCCAACTAATCATACTAACGTTTTTTAAAAACAATTTCAGATAACACCGATTATAAATTCCTGCAATTTTCAATTATCTGAATACGAAGTCAACATGTTTTCATTGTTATCTTATATGAAAGATGAACAAACAATAATAATTCAAGTATTCGAAATTATATTTTGATATGAGCAGTCAAGTATAATTGACTGAAGTAAAAGTATATGTAATTATGTAACCTGGAGTTTTTTGGGGAAAATGTGGAAACTAAGTATCACAAATTAATGTTTACTAAAGCATTCGGGTAGCTGTATTAGACCTTCGAGTACATGCGAATCCCACATTCTGCTGTACACAGCACAGAAAACATCTTTCTAAATTTTAGATAGTTAGACAGTTTTAACGAAAAACAGACTGTGTATCAGTGTTTATTACAATGATATTAACCACTGTTTTGTTAACTACCCGTTTTCTGTCATATTATTTGTTCTCACGATAAGGAAAGCGACGGCTGTATTTTTATATCCGCCCATCTTGAATCCTACCCCAATTACACAAATCGGGATCCACTTGACTACATAAAGATAAGGAAATCCTGTCTTTACAGACGAGTCCGTTTAAGCTGGTACGATGCTTGACAAAGATAGTCAACACGTCTGTTGATAAATCCGACAGCTTTAAAGTCAGCACAGTAGATACTGAGATTATCCCAAACAAGATTTAATTAAAACACCAGGCCATACTTAATTGAGTATAATATGTTTATCAAAATAAAATCAGCAATGTCGATTACCACGGTACTTAGATTGTTAATGACTAATTAGGTTTTTAATCCAAACACAACAAAAGAGTTTTGCTCCGGGGTACATCTGAATAGGATTTTAAAGCCGATGAAACTTGTGTCGGAGCGCATTTCAGCTTTTTGCATATGTTCATGAGAGCAAGAAAAGTGCATTGAAACATTAAATTAGCTTGGTCAATGTATTGCTATCGCGAACTAACGAAAATTTTTTAATCTCAGGTGTTTACCTTCGCAGAGAAACCTCGTAAATCAAATTCAAAACAAAAAGAGCACACCGATTTTTACGCACAGCATATGTAGTTGTATGTAAGGAATATATGCATCCATTTACATTGTACAAAATCTATACTATTTTTTTTTCAAAACTCCCGTTTTTGGCAATTTCATTATATCAGTTTTATTGCATTGTACGAAGCAGGCCTGCAAAATCCAAGATCAGCTTAGACAGTCTTTCCATGTTCAGATTTCGGCGCTTCCGTTGTGGAACACGTACGTATATCATAAAACGTTCAGGAAGTTATAAATGGCGTTGAGGTTTCAGCACTGAATGGTCTTTTATCAGACATACTTGAAGTCGGAAATAATCACCATCTACTCAAGGGTAAGTCATCGAAATTATGACGTCAATATGAAGTGTACTTAAAAGCAAGGGACCTTTCTGTCGATATTAATATAATCTTTTTTATTTGCCAAGATTTTATCTGGTCCTCTCGTACTTTGCTTTGATGTTTGGAACCTCGTTTGAACGGTAGTATAGACAAGGGAAAGTTCTGTATAACAGGGGGTTACGGCATTTGCAATCAACTTCTGGGAGGCAAGAAAATATAATATGACAGCGATGAATTGTGATCAGATTAACTGACAGCAGGATTGGGTAAAATTCTTGGCGTCACAACTAATGATTTGTGACGAAGCCATTTAGGATTCCATGGAAGCACATACATATATATTTGCGTGGAAATGTGCAAAAGTGATGCGTAAGTTTTGCATCTTTGTTCAAAATAACTATTTTAAAATTCAATAACAAAATTATGTGCGCTAAAATTGTGGGCCACTCCCATCGCCCTTGGCCCCTGCCTTAATCTGCCAATTTGCCAAACTTGGTTTAGTTAACTGAGCTTAACAATCTTTCTCTCACAAAAATGTAACTAAAGAGCTTTCGTCACCGTTTTACAGTGTGTAATATAGTAATGTTGATGATTTGTTCATATTTGTTTTAGTTCACTTTTACATTCTTTTGAAATGATGTAATATTTGATTACTCATGTAATTGATATTAACTACTTCGAGTATTGTTTCCGACAATGATCTATAGTGACACAGACGTCATATAGCAGAAAAGCGCGAGAAGGGCCCCCTCCAATCCGTTTTCACATGGCTGGTAATTCACAAGTTATAGGACTTCACACACTATTCGTTCGAATTTCGCTTACGTAAACCAATATGTGATCAATATAGCTTGTTGTAGTTGGTAATAGCTGTTTCCAAGTCGACATTGCCCTTAGAAACTAGATATATATAGGTTCATAGTATTCGATAGCCGCTCTCTCTCTTTTATTCGGACAGTATCAACTTACATAGAAACGGTTTCTGATTATTTCCGTTTTTACTTAACTGGTAGTATTTTTGTAGGGTGGTGGCGGAGATCACCAAATCAGTTGTGTCTAATTTATTTGATATCCCCGATGATCTATATGCTGTTCGGCGAACTAATATTTTGTTTATGGTGTGCGACGGAGAACAGGCTCTATTCTGTCGGTCTTACCTATCATATTTTGGATACATGGTTAATTACAAAAGTTACACAATAAGATGGAAACTGAACAACTCGCGTATATTAAATAACAATTATTTACCATAGCCACATGTGTACCACACATTTATCATTTTTCCTCCTGTATTTGATTTACGGCACATCATTGTCGTCGACCTTTTCAACGCAAGCTGGTTGTTATGCGAGATATTCCACTTCACATAATTGAACGGCTAAATCGTAGCTCGTTGGGCAAACAATTATCTCGTGGGTATGTCCCCAACAGGATGACAACGGTTGCTCTCAAATACTGTTGTTGGCAACAATGCGTGGCGGGCGAAACTATACCGTTACGTAGCGACGCAAAACGCGGGAATGTACGTACAAAATCAACAAAACAGGGACGAGAGAATTTAGCGTCGACCGACGTCGTGTTTCACCAACCCTTTGAAATACCTTTGGAATGTTGGCTGTGTTCTACATGAAAGCGCCAAAAACACGTCACCTCAACGGACATTTCTGTCGATAACTATGGTTAGACGTTTCCTTTCGCCTGTGATTCAGTGTTTTTGAAGTTGCCGGAGTCCCCTTTCAAGTGATTTTATTTGTTTGTATTTATTTCATCAAAGAGAATTAGACGTGCGGGTCGATTTCGATGCTGTTTTTCTTATAGTAAGAAATGAATTGAACCAAATTTAGTGTAGAATCTTGTTAAATAGACTTATCGAGCCAATGCCAATGTCGTTCCAATGCACTACATACATTATCTTAGCGAAATGCATGTTTTTGGTCTTTTTTTGAACAAATTTTGGAAAATATGAAATGAACAGAAAATGTCTACAAAGGCATCTATTAAAAAACCAACTTTAATATTCTGAGGCGAAATTCCAATAATATTCTCTTTCGATCCGCGAATAACGCATAAAAGTCTATCAAAAGTAATTTTTTTCAAATGTCTACTCGTTCCACGAAACAAGCGAGACAGCTTTTTTCTCGCGGAACCAATCGACGTATATTACCGACTCGTGCGCTCGCTCATCGTCAATTCACGGCTGTCAGCCGACGCCGTCGGATGCGGGTCGTTTGTTCGATAATGTGTTTGACTAATTCTTTACATTATTGTTGCAGCTAATATTCATGATATAAACTTAATTTAAATTATATAACGGGAGAAAACTTATCAAGCTACAAAAGCAACATGGAAAATACATGCAACAACAATATGCCTGTTAGGCGACGAAGACTTTGCTCAGTTGTCGCTCCGGAGCTCGGAGTTGAATACACCAAAGGAGGCAGAAGGACAGTTGTAGTCGGTACCGCTAAAACAACAACTTGCACCGACACTTCAAGAATGTCACCTATCCCTCAAGAAAGCGTTTCGCAGCTGGCTATTTCTCAGAGGCTATACAGTTCGGGATGCGATTTTACAGGTACGCCTACACGCAAAACAAATGGACTAACAAGGCATAACAGTCTACCCAAACGGGTCAATTTTCGCCAAATTGAAAACTCTGCCGATCTTAGAAACTCAGCCATCAGAGCCGCTTTCCGTCAACGAATCAACAGTTACGACGATCGTATGAGGAACGATCAAACAGAATTCATTTCATCAGGGTTTCTACCTTCACCTGTTCAACAAAATATCTCCGAAATGGACAATTTGAAAGTGCCCTGCCAAAGGCGAGAACTTGCCATAAATCTGACATCGTGCCAAAACAACGAAGCCATGGCAAAAATGAACGGTGCTTTAACCCGAAAAACACAACGTTCAATGTCGGCACACTCAGTCGCTCTTCCTGGACCGGATAGCACTGTTCTCAGAGATCCCATTTCAGGAAAGATGTACAAACGAGGAAAGCTGCTTGGAAAGGTAAAGTTTTAATATTATTTCGCACAAAGTATTATGTCAAATGCATTATGTATCCTAATTTTTATGACAAGGTTTATAAAAATAGACAGCTACATGTAATTCGTGATAGGCTTTATACATGAAAATGAACATTAATGGTGCGTGTTATTCGGTAAATATTTATGCAATAACTAAACAGCGTGCTTCATGAACGTGACTCGATAATATCCATTATTAGAAAAACGGAAACCGCGATCGGATTGTTCATCTCAGATTTGCGCACTGCGGTTTACGATACTTCTGTATTTCGAATTTTCTGTGATAATGGGTTTCTGTCACTTTGCTAATTTATTTCTTCGACAAACTGATTTTCGATTATAAAATATTGTCAATGTTGGTAAAATATACCCCTTTGATCAAACTTATATTTCCTGTTATCAAAACACCACCCAAGTACTGTTTAAATTAGGATTTCCCGTTTAAGTGAAGCATACGACATAGGGGCGTATCTCTTCCATGGGAAACGACCGATCCCCATATCAGCTTAACTGATGCATATTTCTGACAGCATTTCAATTAGAAATGATGTGAAATAGAATTAAAAATGAACTTTTTGAAGTTTTCGATATAACACCTGTTAATTAAATTTCACAAATTGCGATACTTGATTGTGGGTAAGAAGCGTCTGCAATAATTACTTGCGGAAAAGCTGCGGTGGTAATCATTGCAGTCCTTGTCGAAATGATTCGAAAGCCCGCAAAGTAGTTTATCGGCTATTGTGGTTTTTCAAAAAGTTGATTTGGTATAAATGCCAGCGCCTTTGTTCTTTGCGTTTAGGAATATATCCTTTAATTGCAGTAATGGCGCGCGTGCGTTGTCAAAAACAGCAATTAAGTTGTTCCGTGACGGTTTCAGTTCTGAAATAGCTCATGGAGTATTTTTATTTCTAAATTGATTTCTAATCATACATTCTGTATTTTCCATACCTACAGGGAGGATTTGCACGTGTTTACGAAGGTATCGATCTCAGCACAAACAAGAAATATGCGTTAAAAATCATCGATAAATCGAGAATTGCAAGACCACCACAGAGGGAGAAGGTCGATGCTGAAATTGAGCTTCACGCCGCCGCATCTGAGGTCGGGCACCCTAATGTCGCTAAATTTGAAACAACTTTTGAAAACGCCCGGATCATCTGCTTGGTTATGGAGCTTTGTGAAAAGAGGGTGAGTTCATCAAAAAAGTTGATTTGTTTTCGACTTTTTGTTTTCGAGGTTGGTTATAAGTCTAACTAATTCATTTTTTTTTTATTGTAGAGTCTCGCTCAGTACCTAAGGCGTAAAGAGTATATCAGCGAATCGGAGGTCAGCGATTTAACCTGGCAGATCGTGTGTGGCCTTGCTCATATTCATGGTTGTGGTCTTCTTCATAGAGATTTGAAATTAGGAAACATTCTGCTCGGAGACGATATGACTGTGAAACTTGGCGATTTCGGTCTCGCCACAAGAGCTTCATGGGGGAAAAGGAGGTAGGTCGACGCTACAGATTCTAATTCCATAATTTTAATCAAGATTTTCAATTAGTTAATGATAATTTATATTTTATCAGGACAATTTGCGGTACTCCAAATTTTATCGCGCCCGAAGTACTTCAGAGACAAGGACACGGGCCCGAAGCAGACATTTGGGCTGTTGGTTGTATCCTGTTCACTTTACTTGTCGGAAAGCCGCCTTTCGAGACCACAAGCTTAAAGGTGTGTATAGCTATAATCAAGTTGCACTCTAGTAGTAAGTCTCGACCGCATTTTTTGATATTATATTTAAATACAAAAGCATGTAAATTATCAAAAAATCATTACCACCTTCCGCGATACCATTTTCTCCTTAATTATTGTTCGAGCCGCGACATGGCTGTGGCATCCCGCATAGTAATATAAAATCAATGGACAACACATTATTATGTCAGGCCAAATTTTAACCAAAGATAAAGCGATTATGCGATTTTCAATAAATTAACCACCAACTAGCTAGTTGTGTTGCCAGTGTAACCAAAAACAGGATTATCCGAAGATCCGCAATATAAGCTGATCGATAACCGATAATAACTCGCACTGGTGGCAAAACATAACAACAATAATGTTAAATTTTTATTCTCGATACCCTGACATGTTCATACACCTGTTAATGTTATCCGTCACTTTTAGTTTTATTGATTCGGCGTAAATATTTAAGTTGTGCGGGGACAATATTTCGTCAGTTTATGTGATCTGACCGGGCACCGGAATAATTGATGAAGTTATGAATTGGCGAAAAATGTTAAAATTCAAAAAATAATATGAGAATAAATCAAATATTTCAAAAAAATCGATATATTTTAGTTTGCGACAATAGCATGGAATCGGAACAAAAACAAATTTATTTATTCTAAATGAAATCAGTTTGCAAAGGTTTAGCGCGAATTTTAAATGAAAAAATTTTCATTGCAGGATACCTATAAATGCATTCTAAAGAACAGTTATCGAATTCCCTCAACTGTGTCTCCAGAAGCAGCTGATCTTGTCCGATGGATGCTCCGATCAAAACCCCATGCTCGACCAACACTGAACGACATTACAAATCATGTATTTTTCGTAAAGGTAAATAATTTTGTAATTATAATTAATCTTAAGTTTTCTTGCTTTCCTACATTAATGACTTTGTGGTAAATTTAAATCATGACCAAGTTATGCTTTTTATAATGTTTGACGCAATAATTTACGGCCTTTGGCTATAACTTATTTAACCTATTCAACTCGTTTTTGTCGAATTGCAGTGATTTTGTGATAAGATCGACAAAACTCCAAAATCGGTCGTTTATTTTTGTCTTGCTAAATATAATTGTAACGTCTGTGGGAGTGTTACATCAAGATAACGTGTTTATATTCTAGCATAATTTTTTGCAAAATGAGAGATAAAAGCTATAACGCCTATTGCGGAAAGTAATCGGTGATTCAGCACAATAGGTCAATTGTTTGTCGTTAAATCAAATCTGAGTAAATTCAAGCAAATTAAATCGCAATTCTTTTGTTTTTGCAGCACCAAACCGCTATGCGTTACCCGACCATTGACCAGCTTGCTGAGACATATCCCAGCAAAGAGATCTCGCCGGAAAGTGCATTACCACTTCGCCGAAAGTCTGTCCTCCCGCGACTGACTGTTAACAATAATCAATCATGCTCTGGAAGTTATTCTTCAGTTGGAAGTTCTTCAGGTCAAGTGCGTCACAATTCTTGCCCATCAGATCCATGTTCTGTTTACTCCGACAGTGGCAGAACCAACCAAGTTCGCAATGATCCTTCTTCTTCAGTCGGACCTAAGATTTCAATATTGGATCACATGAAACGGGTAGCATCTGATGAAGAAAACAAAACTTCATCAAACTCAGTTTCATCTGGTACTTGTGTAGAAGATGTAGCCGAATCGAAAAACACTCCAACTGCAGAACAGGACCTTATTTCTGAACCTGCCATTGAACAGAAACCTCAAATCCCCGCTGAATACAATAACAATACTCCCAAAGAATGTTACACCCCCGAAGCCAACACCAAAATCAGTACCAAATGCGACAATATTTCTTCTCGAAAACATAACAAATCAAAGGCCAGTCCCGTCAAACTTCTTGCAAGCAAACTTCAAAAGTTCAAAATTCCGTCCCCAAAAAGTTGCATGAAGGCCGCTGCTCATACAATGAAATCAAAGGCAAACGACTACAAATCTGCAAATGGTGAGTAGCTTTTTTATAGTCATATACCACATAAGTAAAAATATCATGTCTTTGTATCGGGTTGATAAAAAAATAACCCCGCAATTTCAATGCTTCGCGAAGTACACAGTAAATGCATTAACGTACTGAAAAATTCATTTCAAAATGCTCGTAGCTAATGAAAAGCCTTATCGATGACAGGTTTGAATGTATCGCCCTGTTCTCCCTAACGCCGTCTAGAAAACAATGTTAGCGACCATTATTAGTCTGTTGGCTGAAGCGAGGCCGCCTTCAAAATCCAACTCGAGTCCATTCTCCGTACTTGTCTCTTTTTTCGGCCAAAACATTTGTACGGTTCAGGGATATCTTGTTGACCCGAGTTACACAAAGCAATATCGGAAATAACGGGTTCAGCTGATTTCAAATTTTTATTTTCCCCATTTACTTTGCGGAAATTATCGCCCATTACTTGTGAATAATTACGTTTTTTTAATATTTTTCATTTCTCATTTTAGCTCAAACAGTCATTCAAACCAAAGCCGAGGAAAATGAAAAATTGTCCCACGCTACCTGGATTACCAAATGGGTCGATTATTCCAACAAATATGGCTTCGGATACCAACTTGCAGACGGCAGCATTTGTGTCCTCTTCAACGACGGCGCACATATTGCGTTGCTAGCCGATGGAAAGTAAGTACTTAATCGTTTTCGTGCCATGTTGTGTAATAATTATGCAGTATTTTATTTATTCTAAACTCTTTATTATTTGAGCTTATATCTAAATTTTTCTTTAAATTTTCAGCACTGTCGAATACACTGAACCAGACTGGGCATCTTCGTCAAACAAAAGTTTATTTTCCATTCAATCGCCGCCGGCGGCGTTCCTCCGTCCAGTGAAAATTCTTCAACACTTCACTGCATACATGGACAAAAACTTGCGAAAAGCTGGTGACGGTAATTGCGAAGATTCATCTTCCACAGCATCGGTTCGCATGCTCACCTGGAGCCGAACCAGCGAACATGTTGCAATGTACCTGAGCAACGGAACAATGCAGGTCAATTTCTGTTCCGACCACACCAAAATCAATGTCTCAAACATCCACAAAAGCTCTATGATGACAGTCACCTACGTAAATGAGGTGTGTATATCATTATTGGTATAAATATCATGTCATAGAAAACGCATTAAATCAATGAAGGCCATTAGTACTAATATGACAGTGTACGGCAAGGGCGCGAAATGTCGATACTTTTCTTGTAATTGATTAATTGATATAATGCAACAAATTTAACATAAAAATGTATTTAATGTAAGTGCTATAGTTTGACAGCAGTCGTTTTGATAATGATTTGGTGTAAGATAACGGTCTAACCTACTCGAAGTTATTCCGCTAAAAGGTTGTAGTTTATCAAAACAACTGTAAACTTATGTCGGCACTTGTGAAGCGTAACATTGACCAGACTGTTTAAGATAAAATTTGCGATTGCGTTCAAATACATGACTTTCGACTTGTTCAATATGTGTTTCACATCGCCACCGCTCTTTCGCCGACGGCTTTTCGTTTTGTTTATACAAATTATTATATAAATTAACCTCCGTGAGTTTGAATGTATCGGTGTTTTTCAAACAAACTGTATTTCTTACTAATAAACATTTCTATTTTCCATTACAGAACAAAGAAACCTCAGTTTACGAAGCCAGCCAGCTGTCTAACATCACGGATACCGGCCTAAAACACCGAATGCAACAAGTTCATAAAGAGTTTCACTGTCTTCTCGGAAACGATAACTGTATTTCTCATCCGTTCTGTGGGATTTTGAAGAACGAAACTGCCGAAGAAGCGAGTTTTAAACCTCGGGATACAATGATCGTTGTCGCGTGAATTTGTCTTATGCAAAAAACTGGAAAATAACATTTTCAAGTCGTAAAATGTTGAGGGATTTCTCAAATTCATACCTCTTAATTAGTGTTAATTAATGAGTTTTGTAAGTCAGCTAGTCTGCTATATTATTTATTTTAATTTACACGTATTATCATTATTACATTGAGGCAAGCCGTCCTGTATTATTTTCATTGCTGCTATATGAATTGCTATGCTCCACTATTTATTTATTTGTTCTTTAAATTAAAACTGAATCTGATTTAACAAGCGTGGTAGCTGAACGCTTTTAATGATAAAGCCCCATCAAAAATTTTAAATGGGATTTGTCTAGCATCACTATTTATTTAACTATTTCTTATTTGACTGTTCATGTTCCTTGCCACATTGAAATTCTTTATATATTCCTTTCTCTTTCTCTAAGTATAATTTTCACGTTCGACTTGGGTGGAGAATATTGTTTCAACCGTCTGTAACTACTAAAATCATAACACGCAACGCCGTCAGAAAATATGGTCTGGGTGTGTAAAGTATTGCGTATTCCAACCATTTTAATCTGTGCTGATTCCATTAATTTTATTTTATCATCACGTGACGCTTAAACGCCGCGCGTTTCGTCACGCGTTGTTTAATATATATACTATTTATTTCACTCATTTGTTGCTGTTTTCTTTTTATTATTTATTTTATTTAAGTTGCCGCCAACGTCGACAAGAGTCGCTTCTTTCTTTATTTATGTTCAATGTCTCTTCACTTTATCATCGAAAAGGTTAAACTCTCAAAATAAAACAAAAACAAACAATACTCAGTGCTGTTGTATTTGTGAAAAACCGTTATTGTGCATTCAGGTTGCAGAGGAAATTGAGTGTGATTTCTTCCGATTGCTAACGTTAGAACGAAAATGACACGGGTTCTTGACAGAAGTTATTGTGGGTTAGAATTGCAACAATTCCCGCTATTGAGAACAAAAAACGTTGCTCAAGGTATAAAGTATATAATAAAGCATTTGTAGAGCTTCGAAATTTGGTTTCGATTGGGATTCAGTTTTCAAAAGCCTCGATTGCAACTTTGTGTAGCCTACTTCAAGTGTCATGAACAAGCATCCAGAGGCCGATTTGCGTGCTCCCTGACGGAATTTTGGAAATGTTTCTGAAAAAGGGTCTATAACATTAGAGACTAAGGATTAGATAAGGCAATACAAAAATGACGTTTTCGGTGAAAATTTTATGTGGGTACCGGTATTGGCTATTTTAGGGTGTAATAGTTCTGCTTGCGATAAGAAATCATTCACTCGTGTGTCGTAGTTTCATTCAGCAATGTCAATGTTTGATGGATGTAAACAAGTCACAGGACAGAAATCTGTCAATTGTAATACGGATCGAATTTTACCAATGGTTGTATTACTGAAATGATGTTGCAAGTGTTATGGCTGGGGTCGTGTTTGTCGTGGACTATCTGCCAGAATACTGCCAAACGTCCTTGGAGGATTTCAGGCGGTCGAGACGCCTCGTCGCGAGTAGGCTCCTTCTGAATACTATTGGATGGTACGAATCACAAACATAGTAATGAAGAACATCAAAAAGTGCTACCTTTTAGGGTACTTGTCTAATTGGGTACCATTATCATATTACCAATGATTGCATTACTGAAATGATGTTGCAAGTGTTCTGGCTGCGATCGTGTGTGTCGTACAGGCTAGCTGCCAGAATACTGCCTAGCGTCCTTGGAGGATTTCAGGCGGTCGAGACGCCTCGTCGCCAGTATATCTGAATACTATTGGATGGTACGGATCATAAACATAGAAATAAAGAACAACAAAAAGTACTACCTTTTAGGGTAATGAGAAAATTTCAATAACCACCTGAGACCTGAATGGAAGTATCGTACTGGCTGTGTCTCATAGCCAGGCAAATTTAACATAATATGCGCGAGAGATATAGATACTACATAGTAATAATGAATCATCAGAACAAATGTTTGCATCAAATTATGGGGGAAATTTTATTCCTTTAAATAATATCATTGCAGTGTCGATTTCCTATAATTTCGAAAAATTAACAACTCGTCAAACGAAAATGACGTTATCAAATAATTACGTCACATATAGATTTTTAACATAGTTTCAGCAGTATTTTACAACGGACACAGTATTCATGAACTTTGTACTCGCGACTCTTTGAGTAATATAATATATCATACCGTAATATGTCATACATTAATTTTTTTTAATCTAAAATTATCTGAAACCTACGCAAAACACTTTACGTCAAATAAAATATTTTTAGACGAAGTAGCGAAACTCCGTTTTCGAAAGTAGTTAGAACCTGTTATAATTCATAATGAGACATAATCTCACCTGTCTGAATTTTAATGTCTCATTCATTTAATCACAATTCAATTTAGTTCGACGTTATGAAATAGTGTTTGTTTGCTAACCACATAAACAAACGGAACGACAGCCCACACCAATTTCGAAACAGTCAGTCTTGTCAAACACGTTACACACAATTATTTGTTCATTCATTATTAATTCAGACAGTCGTAGCTATCCAAACTGGCACAACCATTTCGAAATAATAAGATACCTCAATATGTTGTCTTTGCCCGTAATATTTCATGATAATTGCAACAATAAAACTTGATACTTTTTGCCATTAGTCAACAGATTTCCCCTGTAACTTGATTACCATGTTATGATGACAAATCAAGTTATTAGCACGAGCGCTCGATGTTTTATGACACCTCAAAACAAGACGACCATCATAATTCTCCAAAACATTTGCATGATTTTCTCTATTAACACACACGAAAATATAGCGGACGGTGATAAAACACGACATCCACAGATGTTTACACTTTACAATGCTACGTCAGTGTCTTTTCGATTCGGTAGCCTACTAAATTATTCCACTCGAGGTGTTGGGCATGCATTTCCGCGACTTTCACAAATAGTTTATTTTATTTTTCTCGTATTGTGATCAGCAGAGGTGATATGTGGAAGTCGAGGGATATTCGTCGTTTTCAGAAATCAGAAGTCCAAATAGGGATAGGCAATCGTCTCAAATGGCTGTAACGTTACCTCTCGGTCGCGCATTTTTGCTTGGTGAATCTTCATTTCTCTTGACTAATCTGGGTCATCAATTGAAGAACTTCGAAAATGTTTTTAAGCAACTTCCTGAAAAATGGCCCCAAAATGGGAAGGTAAAGTTGTTCAACCGGAAAATTTACAAAACAAGACCTACCTCGGAAACAAAATACAGTACAAAGTTTTGCGTCGGATTGCGTGACTGCGCGCTATTACGTAATGCGTCATCACCATAGCCCATAGAAACATCTGATGGATCTGTCTACTCGTGGTACGCATATTTTATTTTCTGAACGCTATAATTTCTCATTGCCTACAGTTAATATGCCATGTTAAGGCGAATCTTCAGTAGAATTTGGCGGAAATAAGGTGGATACGAGTTATCTTTCAACCATATAAAATGGTGTAAACTACCCATAGTATCAATCTTGATTGTTTCTTAGAGATGTGAAATAATGTATTGGTATTTTCAAAACGTCATTGTACAAATATTGGGCATTATATGACCATACGTCTCAAATTGCGGGTGCGATCTTTGCGCGTTCTCACGAAGTTACGTCATCCGTATCACGTCATAGGAAATCATATGTCGGAATCTTCAGGTCAATTGTACTAATTACTCAATTTGAGAATAGTTCATTTGGGTGGGAAGAGCGTGTACATATTTTGTATGGCCCAGGGTTGTCAGATCATGTATTCCCCATTTCTGTTTATGTCAGAAATCTTTCTAGCTGCCTTTGTAACTAATAAGGAGTGTGAACATGATTATTTTCGGGTAAAATGAAATAAATATAAACGTAGATGTTTATATATTGGAAATATTATTTTCTGTGTAGATTCTAAGTATATTGAAAATGCCTTAAATTTTGTTTAAGATATATCAAAAAGCTTTTGATTTTGGAGCACCCTCATGTTTACTACATTTAAAAACATGGACCTAAACGTTGCCCGAGTGCCTATAAATTGACATATTTCAACGGAAAATGGAATTTCGATTTTTTTTAACAAAAAGTTGTTTAATAAACATAGAGGGGCGTTACTTGGGATTGGTTATTTCAGCCTACGTTTTGAAATGTCACGCTCTTAACGACTTTCAAAACCACATGCTTAGTTCTGCCAGGCCTGACTTAGAGGTTCTTAGTGGTTGAGGCCGATCATGGTTTTGCTTATATCAAAGGTTATGTTTTCTTAACCCTCGGCATCCTAACACTTTAAAAGTCGCGTGGAATTTGGCCAGTGTGATGAGCCCATCCTACTTGGGCGCCAATGTGCTTTTCAAAGTACCGTTGTGTGGCCTTGTTTACACGCTACCGCACTTTGATATGCCCTTTTCTCGACTCTTCAAGTCTATCAAAATATTAGTTTTATAATGTTTCATTCGAATGCTACCACATTCCAACACCTTTCGTATTGAGACTTCGAGTCTGAGCTATTCAGGTGCAACTGTATTTTATTTTGCTTTTTGTTTATGACAATTTGTTTGGTCAGATTTGGCCCAGCTCTAAAGCCAAGTACTTTTTCGTCACTGTGGCATTGTGAAGAAAGGGGCGTGTCGTGTTGACGTATTTCGACCCATTCAAGCAACGATGTGTTGACACCAGATAATTATATATAGGAGGATGTATAGGATCTATACATGACTTTGCAACCTTTTTGTATGCTTGTCTAACTTCTTTATCTTATTATAATTATCAATATTTCATGCGACAATAGCGGATAAATATATAATTCAAATGGTCACAGACCATATTTACATCGGATATTGTTGAATGATCGTAATAATTTGACTTTTTTCCAGAAATCTTTGATGAATTTTTAGATTGCATGGTAGAATGATTGTATGGTAAACATCTTAGAAATTAATGCATAAAATGTACATTAGTTGTTACATTATTTGTCCTCTTGTACAAATGATTTTTTTTAAAACGTTCAATTGATTAAACACATGCTATAAAATTGATAATAGTGCAAAAGTGTGGTATATGTTTAACGTTGAAGTGAAAAATCATATAAATAAGTTATATGTGATAAAGTTCAAGATTATTACTGGCTCGAGAAGCTCACAAAAAAGATTGTGATTGGAGAACTGCAGATTTCACGTTCTTCTTTGTAATGCTTTTATTGTTGTGACAATTATACCAATTTTTTTTTGTAAAATCCAAAGAAATTAAATGATATAAATTTATTTTTAAGCAGAACGAACAAAGCCTTTTACGATTTGAATATTATATATTAACTGTACCGTGTACCTTGAGATGTACCTAAACGGGCGTGTCGCAACTGCAAAGTATTAGTATCCCCGTCAATATGCCATATAGCAAGTTGACTCTCTTAATAGCGAGGGAGTTAAGTTGACAGTATTTTAATTAGGACTATAAAAACAATCGGGATCGGCACATCATAAATTAAAATTAATATCCGAACATATGTAATCTATTCGCACACGTTAATGAGGAAATAAATAGCAAAAATAACTTCTTCGTGCAAGGCACGCCTTATAATTTTCTATTCAAGTGCGTTGATGAGGGGCGGAGAACATGACTACACAACGTCATAATATCAATATTGACAGCTTTATTAGGTTATGTACTTTTCATCGCCAAATTTGCGCCGTTTATAAAGCAAGGGTTGCTAGGTAAACAGATCAGTTATCGCTGGGGAAAGCATGGGTACGGAATGTGAATTTTGAATACGGGACGTTTCAATTTCATTATACCAG